AAAATAGGCTTTTGCCTAGAGTGGGCTGGCCCTTAGGGGCGCCAAACTGCACCCGGCCCCCCCACCAAAAGCCCCCCTACCCAGCACAGCCCATTCCTGTGACCTGCCAGCCTGTTGGAGGCTCCACCGGCAGGGGCCGTGAAAGGTGCTGGGCAGCTGGGTGAGGCAGCAGCCGGGCAAAGTGGGTCAGTCGGTGTGGAAATCCTCTGGCCACCGGCGGCAGCACCCAAGTGAGGGGGGCAATGCACAGGGGGAGGGGGCGGCGCATGGGGGGGCGCCAGAAGGGATCCTTGCCTAGGGTGCAAAATAAGCTGGGGACGGCCCTGGCTGTGCCATGTTTATTAGAACGGGGCATCTGATTTTAAATATCCAGTCTTGGTACGGTGGTCAGGGAGATTATCTGGGTGCACTCAAAAAATATGGGACAGCCTACTTTTCTGTGAAGGTTAGCAATTTCCCCCAGCCTGTAGCACTTTGAGATTTCTACAGAGAAATCCATGCATATGTTTGTGACTACAGTATCCCGTCAATATGTATATAAACAACAACATATTAAATACCTAACCTGTATATATTTGGAAGCCACGGTCTTATAGATATATATTCGTTCTAAAAATGGGAAGGGTCTGCAGCTCAGTGGCAGACCATCTGCTTTGCATGCAGAAGGGCCCAGGTTCAATCTCTAGTTAAAAGGGATAATAGGTGATGTGAAAGACCTCCAGTTCAGACCCCATCAATGTGTATTTATATTTAGGATTTTTGGCTCCAATGTGCATCACCTTGCACTTGGCCACATTGAACCCCATTTGCCATGTTGACGCCCACTTGCCCATCCTTGAAATGTGCATCACCTTGCACTTGGCCACAGTGAACCCCATTTGCCATGTTGACGCCCACTTGCCCATCCTTGACAGATCCCTTTGGAGTGCCTCACAATCCTCACTGGTTTTCACCACCCTGAACGACCGAAAAGGAAGATCTGTGCCAAGACGTCGCCGCCGCCCGGATTGAAGAACCTCCGCAAGAAACAACAACTAAGACCCTGCCATAGGTGCCTGATAGGTAGTCACTTCCCCTTCATTGTGTGTGGCCCTAGTAAGGTAATAATTGTACAAATGTAAACCGCTCAGAGCCCTTAGGGGGTGAGCGGTCTATAAATTGAAAGTTAAATAAATAAATAAAAAATAGCTAAGACCCTGGAAAGCTGCTGCCAGTCTGAATAGACAATACTGACTGTCCTACACCAGCGGTCTGATTCAGTATAAGGCAGTTTCATGGGTCATCCATCCATCTGTCCGTCTGCCTGCCTACCTATTGCTCTAATTCCTATAAAGTGCCAGCTTCATGAGTCATCTGTCCATCTATCTGTCTGTCTGTCTACCTGTTGCTTTGATTCCGATAAAGTGTCATTAAGGCACCCTGACCTGGATAGCCCCGGCCAGTCCGATCTCATCAGATCTTGGAAGCTAAGCAGGGTCGATTCTGGCAAGTACTTAGATGGGAGACCTCCTTGGAATACCAGGGGTGTGAGGCGGGGGCAGGCTTTATTCAGCCACTTCTCTGAATATCCTCCAGACCCCAGTAGGGATCAGTCACCAGAGGTTGCCATGACTTCTAGATGCACACATACTCACACACGTGTGCACACATGCACATGCACATATGAAAAATATCCCCCCCCCAGCCCCACAACAAAAAAGTGTCATTAAGGCTTACAGCGATCCTATACAAACAAGAAATAATGGTTACCTAACTTGTACTGACTAGTTTCAAATGATCCACTGAATTTTGATTAATGGCACTTAAGGCCATCCATTACTCTCCATGCTCTTGTTAGCTATTAGAAAAATGACAGACACCAACATTTTACCCTTCCCTACTGGATTGTGTCTGTGTGTGTTATCTTGGGGAAATGGCACAGGATGGCCACAAAACAAAATGGTACCATAGCGGCAACTTCCAAGAGAAATAATAACACCAAACAGGAATGGACAAAAAGTAATCAAGTTGGATTTCAAGTATTATTTCTGTACCACCAACACGAAACCCCACCCGGAAACTGAAACCAGAGAATATTCGGTGAATCTCTTCCCACTTACTAAATGGAAACGCCGGGGAGCAAATCGCTTTCAATATTGCTCACAGCCTAAATCCCTACACCTGGTGCTGGGATCCCATTTGATGACCACAGGGCTGCCGCTTAACTGGGCTACGGATCGGGCTGTAAGTCACCTGTTCAGAAAGAGCTGATATAAACAGCAGAGCTTGTTAAATGCTCCATTAAAGGCTGGATGAAGTTAAAAGTGGTCGAAGTCCTTGAGCCATAAAGCTCAATTCAGCTACTTTAAAGACGAATTTTACTTTTTTTTTATTATCGAACTGTGATAGTGAAAAAAGGGATGAAAGGGATGAAAGTAATGTACCACTTCAACCCTCAAACCATTTTCTCTGAAGTAGTTCTATGGAAATCGGGGACATTATTCTAGCCACTGTAGCCTTGCTACAGGAAGGAATGATTCTTACAAAAGAAAGGGCAGGATCCAGCCAGAGCTGAGCACTTTGAAATCCCCTTGTTTTCAATGGGGAATCAAGGAAAGGTACAGCCGGTGTGGAAAGCTCCATGGTGTGGAATGGGTTTTAAAAGGTAAAGGTAGAGGTTTCCCTGGCTTGAAAGCCAGTCGAATCCGACTCTAGGGGGCGGTGCTCATCTCCGTTTCCAAGCCAAAGAGCCAGCACTGTCCAAAGACTTCTCCATGGTCATGTGGCTGGCATGACTAAATGTCGAGGCGCACGGAACGCTGTCACCTTCCCACCGAAGCAATTTCTTGCTTTCGAACTGCTAGGCTGGCAGGAGCTGGGGCCAGAGATGGGAGCTCACTCCATCACGGGGCACTAGGGTCTCGAACCGATAAACTACAGACCTTCCGGTCTGCAGCTAAGTGTCTTAACGCCTGAGTCACCGTGGCCTCACCTAATAAAAGTGCAGAGGGTTGCCGTTTGAAAAGTGAAAAGAAAAATGAGTCTTATAGCACTTAAAAGGACAAAGGTGCAATCCTAACAGCACTTTTCGGGGAGCAAGCCCCACTGAATAGACCTGGGTGCCCTTAGAAGAAGAACAACAAAAAGAGTTGGCTTTTATACCAGGCCCGTAGCGACAGTGGGGCATCTCGGGGCCTGGCCCCCTGACTTATTGCCAAGCACCCCTGACTTCCCATCCAGCCCCCAGCCCCCCCCCAACTTCCATTTTTAAA